TGTCTATAATTTGATTTCTAAATAGAACAAGTCTAACACAATCCGAGCAAGGCTTCAGGCTAGTCGGCAAGCCGTTCTAAGTTAGTCAGTTAGTTCCATGTGACAGGATCATATATCTCAATTTATTTTGATTTAGAGCCTACCACAGCCTGGATAGGTACATTGAAATGCTCGTAGGTAGGCACTGAATTGTAATTTCTATTACTGTTATGTAGGCACGAGGATCGTTATTGTTTTAGTCTGTCTACGTTTGTTTGAGGTAAATTTCATATTGGGTTATGTAATAATGTCTATATTTCTTAAAGATGTACGTAGGTAGGTGCGTGGCTATTTATTTTGTCGCTATTATCGGTAATAGTCCTCGTTATTCTAAGGAAGTAGGTAATGCTATTATTGAAGTTCATAAGTTAAACACGACCTATCAATAATATGCTTAGTTAGTGGCCGCACTTGATTACTATGACAGTAAGTGCCGTAAACATTAATGTTTACCTTAGAAACAAACATGAGAAAATAATTAAAATAAACAAACGTTTTGAACAAAATTCAATTACTCATTTTCTACCCCTCAAAGTTTTATTTCCGCATTACCTAGATGAGATTAAACTCATTGACAAAGCATCAAACACAAACGCTTTTTGTCCCACAAATTGAATAATAATAACAATTAAACAAAAGCTAAATAACATGAAACATTTAAAACTCGCTTATTACAAAACCACCATTAATTCTCTCTGTTCATTTCAAAACGAAGGCTTATTTATAAGAAAACTTTGAAGAAAGCAAAGCATTCCGACCTCCCCTCCGAAGTAGATTAATTAAATTAATTAATTGGGAGGGTCACGATTACAAAAATATTAACTTTTGTTTCCATTCTGTTTGTACTGAAATTGAAGATGGATAAACAACAGACGGATAACGTGGAGCGGGATAAAATGTAGGGATTAATCAATGGGGTTTTATATTACACGTTATTTTAGTTGTACGATCTGTACTTCCTGGTAAATGGTATTTAAATGCTAGGCGAATAGAAACCGGGTGTCATGAGGACTGCGTGGGCTGAGCACCGCCGTGTCCTCAGAGATGTGATTGGCGACGGCGACCTCTCGCGTCCGGCTCTAGTTCAAACTATGATATGGAGCGAGGGAGATTGGGATGCTGTCTGTTCCTTCTGCGAAGCAATCATGCTAGCTAAGGAGGAGGCGGGGTGCGTGAGGGAACGAATCTCCTCACGCCCCAGCCGTCGAGAGAGACGCTCTGGGCGTCGGGGATCGTAAAACGATCTTCGGCCACCGTAAGCAGGGGCCTGCGGACGGCGAGCGCAGGTGACTCGCCGCCCGATCAGAATCAGACCCGAGCGTACAGCGGGTCGCGTGCCACGCCTCAAGAAGGCATCAGACCACCACAGATGGGGCCCAATAGGACTGATGTCGATACGGAGCCGCGGAAGGCTTAACAGGTTGCCGGGGCTCCGGCTCCAAATGCAGGAAAAGGAACGGGGTGGTTTTTAGTCAGTAAGAGTCTGACACTCCCTCTCGCCTCACCCAGGCAGGAGAAGTCATTGAATGATAATCCCCCTCAAAAAAAGGCGAATAGATATATAATATAATATTACATCTTTATGAATATATTTCTTCTGTGAGTGTGTATGTCACTGAACTTCTCTCAAACGACTGGACCGATGTTGATGAAATTTTGTGTGTGTGTTCAAGGGGATCTGAGAATGATTTAGATTCACAAATCAGCCCGGCAGATGGCGCTGCATTCGGTTTCGAGGTTATTTATCTATACCTATTATTACAGGACACCGTCTATCGGGTCCGCTAGTTTGCTATAATATGATTGTTATGTTGAATTTCAGTATCAATCTACTTTGTCCAACTACATATCGTTTAAATGACATGTGTATGGTTGTCCTTATTCACAGTCAGGATATATAGGATTGAAGTTACAATATAAAATCCAAATGCCTTAGGTTTGGATGAATGAATTGTCAATTTCAGCTGTTTATTTAGTAAAATATGAAATTTCACAATGATCATACATTTGTAAATAATTTCACTTCTAGCATTTCTTTTCAATTCCCAACCAAAACTAATAAATAGTGCGTCTCTCGGTATCTTTTTTTAAAAATATTTCGGATCATCTTACGTCTTGGTTGTCGCGAACGATGTAAAATACGTGCCTCGTGGGAAATTTATTTGCGGGGTTCCTAAGCCAGCATAACTTGTCTTGGTATCCCTCACTGAGGTATTAGCCGACTGATGTTGCTTTATGCCTTTATCATGAGCTCCTCGATAGTCCAGCGCGGTTCTGATTTCCCTTGACATTTTTAGCTTTGTTAAGTTTGGCTTTTAGAGATGTAGTTTAGTGTTTTAATTTTACTACAGTTGTCTCATAACATTTTTGTTGTTCATTGAAATGGTTAATACTAGTCGAGGTCAGAAGATTAGCTGTAAATTCGTAAATTTCACTAATAAAGAATTCCATTGTTTGCGAACTTCATTTTTAACCAAAAATTGCATAGAGACTAGAGAAACATACCTTTAGAGTCGGCTTCAAAAACAAAATTGATGCATGTAAATTTAATATTTCCGATGTTTCCACACCGAACACGTTAAAAGTATCGGTGTCATGTTGGCATCCAATTTCAAATATTCGGTACATGGCCATCAGAATTGATGCGGACCTATCAGGAGTAGCAGGTGGTGGCTCGCGTCCAATTCACACGGGAGTGTATTGCGTCCAAAAGGATTGGATTGGTTGAAAAAAAAGTCATTGTCCCACAACACGCGGCGTGGGAAATAACGTCCGAGGCTTTCCCATACATCTGCCAATTACTGTTATGCAAACGTAAGCTTTGTCCTTTGAGCGTTCGAAGGAAAATTATGTGAAAATGTTTTAATAGTACTTTTACTAGGAATGTTTCTTTGTGTTTCTATTTTATTTGGTCTTAGTTAAGCTTCTGTTCAAAATGTTGTGACCAGTTTGTAAGATTTTCATTCAATGAGTCTGTTAATGTATGTACTGTGTGTACAGGCTTAAATACATATAACTACTTAGATGTTTTTGTTAAACTCATTGTATTCCTACTTAGAGGACACGGTACTGTACTTACTGGCACTCACATTGTACTTGAATGTAGCATACCTTTAATCGATGTAAGTACTAGTCTGTATCCCTATCATTTTCCCGAGCATATACCTCGATGCGCCTCAAAGAGCCATCAGCTCAGCCAGACAAGATGGGACCCAATAGGGCTGATGCCGATACGGAGCCGCGGAGAACTTAACAAGTTGCCGGGGCTCCGGTTCGTAGTGCAAGAGTAGGAACGGGGTGGTTTTTAGTAAGTAAGAGTCTGACACTCTCTCCCGCCTCACTTTTAAGGCGGGAGAAGACATTTGATAAATTTTCCCACTTAAAGAAAATCCCTATTATTTTCTTATTATCAATGTTTTTGTATATATTAACTCAATCTACAATCGTCCATGTATGTTTTAAAGTTGCAATTTGAATAGAAAATAACAACGAGAACCGCATATCATGTATTCCCATGTAAATTGGATCAAAAGTTAAGCAAGTTAACCTATTCTAATCTATCATTATTTTATAGGAGTTTCGACCTTATTACAAAACAAATAACGTTAAAAATATAACATGGCAACACATCGAGGTACACAAAACCAATTTATAATAGTCTCGCTTTGTACGATATCTTAATACATTCTAAGGTCCGTGTATACTGGTTTTGCATATCTGTTTGTATATTTGTAGAACTTTTTAACGAGTTCCGCTAGCCTATGCTAGTTGGAACTGTTGCGGTGTATTGTGAACACATACATATGTACCTAGTTTTATTTCATACATTTAAATTGGTTTGTTACACAATAAATAACTGTATGACTGTTTGTTGTTAGTTTGTAACTACATAGGTTATTGATGTCAGTTTGAGATTTTTAGAAAGATCAAGTTTCTTGAAGTAGGTTCCTACTTATTGAATTACTAGCTTCTACCATCTTCCAGGTCGCGGTAGATGAAATCCAAATTTGATATCGATCCCTTCATCCGTTTTCACGTGACGTGTAACAAATATATATCTACAGATAATTTTACATTTATGACATTAGTCAGACTAAATTAGTAAGACTGCCTCGTTGGCCGAATGATCGCAAGTGTGACTGCCGGATAAGGGGTCTCAGGTTAGATTCCCAGGTCGGGCAAAGTTTTACTGGGTTTTTTCAAAAAATCTCAGTAGTAGCACGGAGTCTGGAATTGGGCCCGTTATATGGCAATAGGCACACCCCTATTACATGGGACTCATAACATAAATAGTGAAAAGTGGGTGTCACATTGTACAGTGTCATTCAGTGCCGTAATGTACACTTCTACCTACCCCTTCGGGGACAATAGGTGTGATGTTATGTTATGTGACATTAGTAAGATTCTATGCAACTTTGTTAATTTCTGTACGCATAACGTCACACTTTTTATCCTTGATAAGCAAAGCCAGTAATACTTCGCTCGACTCGACAATCAAATACCCCTTGAGTAGTACGTGTGATCAAGAGATTTTACGTTTAAAATTACTACAGGAAAATAAAGAGATATAAAGTCATTCATACAAAATTTTATTTTAAGACTAGACAAAACTTATCTTTGGAATGTTCAAAACATTTCTTCTATAAATAGATAATATACCTATTTCTTAAATTTATTTACAATCATATGTCGATAAGTTTTATTTTATTGTGAACACACATAAATTAATTATATTATTTTATTGCTTTAATATGTATATTAGGTAAAATGAAATTATGGGTGAAAAATATAAGTATGGTTTTCCATCAAAAATATGTAACGACCGTTCAGGCCATTTAATTTTAAATTTAATACAATTAAGGCCCCGTTTGATTTCTTTATGAAATTTCGTTTTCTTTGGATATTAGCCATTTAATTATATTTTTAATTTCACTTATTATTTGTATTTTATTACACTTTGGGACATTATAATTACAACTATAAAAAATACATTATATATTATTTAGTATCTACAAAAATATATTAGACAACGCCTTCTTTTGATGAAAAATCAACCACTTTAACTTGAACTTTATTAACTTGATTTTAAGTCGAATCTCAACGAATAACGTACATTCAGTGGTTATTGAAGATTATTAATTTTATTAAGTGTTTATTTATAGCAGTAATCTTAATTTAATCCTGTCAAGTTGCTTGTAATCGGAGTAAGCTGATTACTAATAAGGTGACGACCAGAGCTGATGTCGATACGAGATGGTGACCTGTAAAAGATTTCAAAAAGATTATCATATAGAAAATTAGTACCTGTTTGTTTTTTTTTTTAAATAAATAGAGATAAGTCATTCTTAGGAATAATAAAAATACAACAACAATTTATGTAAAGTAACAGTGAAAATTACACCCATTTCAACCTTTACTTCTTGTTCATTTGAAACTAAACTTTGGAATGAGCTCCTAGTTTCACTGACTGAGGGACGAACGGAGAATTCCATTTTTGACGTTTCAAATGAGTATTTATTATATTTATATACTTTGACTTTCGACTTTGATTTGATAAAAACGTAAAATATTTCTTATTAACCCTTTGACCGCCAATGTCACATATACGCGACAAGCGAAAACTGTCCCTGGACGTCAACGACACAAATACATGACAGAAAAAGCGGAACCAGAAACACGAATTATTGGAATCCCCATTGTTGATACAATAGGGATTCCAACAATTCCCATTTCTTTCGTAGAAATTTGCGTGGAATTTGTGGCTTGGTGTCGAAGGCAGGTTCATGTGTTTTTGCTCTGGCGTTCAAAAGGTTAAAAGAATCCGTAACCGAAGAGCATGCATGAAAAGACTGATGACTGTTGATGAAACGAAAGAAGTATGTAAGAATCGTAGCAATTGGCGTTCCATAATCTCTGCCCACCCCCATGGGAGACAGGCGTAAAGTTATGTATATTTCTTATCTTATATTTCTTACCTGAGTCAGGCACCACTTGCTTCAAATTAGGTGTCTCAGTCGAAGACAATGGCGGATCTATAACAAAAGTAAACAAACTAAATATTGTATTATTATTAGAACCTAACAACTTAAACAAGCAGTCAGTCAGCCATTAAATAGGGAAGTACCACCATCTCATAGAATACCAGCACGAAGTTGTATTCAGTTACTGATAAGTAAGATTTTCGTATACCAATATCAGTATAAAAATATACATTCAGTAAGGACTAGCCTTAACAATCTTAATGGAGAAAAGGCTTTTGTGCTTATTCATAGCAAGCAATTATAAGACTTATTGCCAAGTTATAATGTGAAGTTATATCTTCTTTGAAGATGAATGTCGCATGTGGATTGATTGATATGAATAACTTCATTCAAAACGATCAGGAAAATTTTCCTATGGTATGATTTGTATGGGGAAATATAATTGTTATGAGAATATTGTTACATTTATTATTTGTTACCTTGAGTGGGTAACAAGCTTGTTATTGAAATAATGTCACACAAATTATATAATATTAATATGTTTATGAGATTTTCTGCCAAATTTGATTTTCTACACTCTTCTCTGCATTCGTATAGCATAATATCATAAGTCGTGGTGGCCCAGAGGTTTAAGACGCCTTTCTCTCATGCATGAGGGTTCGAAACCTATAACACTAGGGGACACATTTTCCAAGACATGTATCGGCGACAAGTCGAGCGAAGCTGCCGATGTCGCCTGACATATACGGCGACAACGCGCGACTTATGTCCACAGCATTGTTGATGTTGCCAGACATGTCGACCAAAGCCCGGCAACGTCGCGCTACTTCACCCAACGTCGCTGGCGACACGTGTTGCAGAACATTTGTATTTGTGTATCCTTGGCTTAAATCACAAGAGTTACTTAAATCGGTCTACAACTACGCTCTTCTTTCCCAAACATTCAGCGGGGTTCAAAGTTTTCAAGATTCGATAATAAAAAACTCACCTCTATAAAACATATCCCTCTTCCTGCTGTAATAGTTGGCGAGTGGAACTTGCATGTCACAGAGGATCTCTACAGTTGGAGGGAGGGCGTCTATCCTCACGACGGAACTCGTCAGAGCTGTGTACCGGCCCTCGATGACTTTGATCGACGACTTAGCGTTCAGTGGCCTGTAGACAGATTTCATTGTTTGAACAAACATTTGTTTTGTCAGATCTGTTAAGGGAAAAGAGTGATAGTTCCTTTTATTTTGTATGTTATAAGGTCGAAATTCTGATTGTTTTTTGGGGAGATAAAAACAATTTTTACTTTTAAGGTTGTATCTTTAATTCTTAAACTACAAATAGCATTGAATCGAAAACGAAACTGCCTATCTAAAAACAAACTCCAATACCACAGTATACACACATATTTTATCATAAGAAAACCAAACAAGTAGCCTTTGCGTAGACCCTAACATCAGCAGAAAAAAAACCAACATAGTCAAAAAAGAAGAATCTTCATAAAATATCCGTATTACGCCGACAAGGCAGACGAAGATTAAAGGCTACTTGCCTTCGTACGAATACGTCGTACCAGGATTATAGAGAAGAGGTAATATCAGTACGACAAACTAAATCCACTCGGGTAGGTATGTGATCGCAAACCCGATGTCGAGGTTGTTAGCCAACTCTCACGGAGCATCCAAATTATTCAGTCTAAAATTTCTAAGGCGAGTGTTATAGGGAATAAAATTTTGAACGGTAATGTTGAGAGGATTAAAAGTAAGGTAAGTGATGAAAATGCAAGTGTGAAAATTGTATTAAATGCTCATATACTAGTTTTTATTGTTAAGTGATTGTTTTGTAACCGTAATTACCAGTTGCTGAGCATAAAACAAAGTCTTTCATTTTTAGAATTTAGAAGAAAACACTCATTCAATCCTCATTTGAGATCGTAAAGTTGGTCGTCACTTTCAGATATAAAAAATAGGGACACAAAAATTGTCGCAAATTTTCATGACGTTGTAGTAAGTTGTGTGACGTATTATACTCAAGGTTTTCACATAAAAATTAAAATAACAAAAGTTTGAATTAAATTCGAACAATAAAATAAAAATGCGACATGCCATTGTCCTCCTAACACAACAAAGCGTGTCTTGCAGCAATATCCTGTTGTATGTTTCAAGATTGAGGAACGTTCAAGTGATCGTATCCGGTATTATTCAAGAACCAATCGGACGTCCGGAAGTTTCAGCCGTTGTGCCTGTTCGAACCAATTCATTGGAATTTATTTTCCACTATATCATATTCGAAATGATTTTCTGTTTACATTTTCTTTGTCTGTTACTCAGACTTGTATTTTGTGATTAATTTTGAACCTTATTTACTTTGTCAATAGAGTCTAGACAGGTTTTATAGTATTGTTGTGTGTTTGGGGGCTGTTCTTTGTTGTCTATTTGAAAGTTTTTGTACAAGAAAAAGTAGGTTTAGAATGTAAAATGGATTTACATTTTGAATATGAGTCCTCATTGGTAACATACATATCTTTTATTACATGTAGCAATTCTTCTATTTGTTACCAGAATAAAGAGATACCTAAATTCTATTTGAGCTTAGTCTATTTCTACCCACATCACAAGATTAGTTTGTTCAGAACATTTTACGTAGGAGTACGCGTGTAGGTAGAAAAAAATATGATTTAAATAAATGTCACAATTTTTAAACACGTTTTTCTTTGAAAAGGTTGGTAGAGTTAGATTTTTTGTGATATATGTATAAGCTAGACTGTCATATATCCTAGCGGACTGTTCTGAGAAGTAACACAACTCAGACAAGGTAAAATAAGGTGGGGGCCGTGCAAGTTGATTAAAAAGTTAATAAATGTAACTTAAATGTGGGAGAGCCATGCTTCGGCACGAATGGGCCGGCTCGACCGGAGTGATACCACGGCATCACAGAAAACCGACCTGAGGTTACCGGAGGCCCAATTACCCTCCCCTTCCCCAATCTCCCCAAATTCTGAATCCCCAACGATCCTCAAACTCCTAATTCCCCAAAAGGCCGGTAACGCACTCGTAACAGCCTCTAGTGTTCCAGGTGTCCATGGGCGACGCCGATTGCTTACCATCAGGTGATTCGTCTGCTCGTTTACCGGTTTATGCCATAAAAAAAAACGCCCACATTTATGCATTATAATATAATAGTAACATTGTCGATATTTGACTACAATCATAGTAACATTTAACATCAATACTTGAAACTTTTAAAAAAGGCGGAAGGTTTCCCAAAAATATCTATTCATAATTCAAGTGTAAACCATTTCAATAAATCACGATACAGATATCATAGAATAAGCCTTTAAAGTCCAATTTAGCATGACAACTCAAGCCATGCGATATACAGACGATGGTATAAGAAGGTACTGTACAGGTAATCGATTATTAACTTTATTGCAAAATTTATAAGGTTGAAAATGAGGAGTTCGACAAATCACAGTAATAGCAGTTGTATTCAGATATGCTTTGATCACTGATCTCTTATTGAGAATTTATGATTTGGGGGTATGTAAAACGTTTAGCTCAGGACCTAGTAAATTTGTTTTATAAAAGGTTGCCCCACACTAGGATTTTTCCTGTGTCGTGGGTGCGTTTAAAAACATACAAATTCACATACACATGACACCCAGACACGGAATAACAATCTGTGAACCGCACAAAGGGTTGTGCAGGAATCGAACGCGCGATACGTTGTGTGCCCAGCCACCACGCCAATCTTGCAGTCAATTTTTGAACCATATTTCTCATTTGCATCGATCTTAACGGTATGTTAATTCCTTTTCATCATTAGGCAACGCAAGTGAAAAATATTCACTAATAAGTCACAATCTTGTTTTAAGGCCAAAAAGTGCATAGATTAGAAGAGTGGAACTTAGAATGTTAATTTAAAAGCATACATACCTGTTACCAGCTAAAATGACCAGTTCTGGCTTCGGGTAGACCCCTTCAACGGAGCAGATGATATTCAGGTATTTGTCATCCAGCCGATCTTGAATCATGTCAAACTTTGTTTCTGGTACTGTGGAATGTATTATAGAATAAATAAAGATACTAAAAACATAATTAACGAAATTTGGTGCAAAAAAATGGATCCCTGATTGTAAGAGATCAACGCTTCTTAAAGAAAACTAGAAGGGTCACAATGCAAGCCTTAATTTAGTCCCAAAAATTTGTTAAGCAACAATATTACCCATTTATATAAACCAAATAATAATTACTGACTATACTATAAATTGGAAGCAAAATATTTGCAACAAAACTAATAATTTTACGAAAAACATCATTATTGAACTTAGCTGGAAAATTAATTAAATAATTCCACTACTTTTAGTATTAAAATACCTTCTCTGAGCCTGATTGAATTCGTTAATTTGCTTTTCGTTTGTGATTCCATCCGTGATAGGGAAACAATTAGAAAATAACAGAGCCATTATTTATTTAGCAGAATTTGTAAAAACATTCGATCTCTGAAATGAAATTTATCCGTACTCACATTTGTGATTTGAATAATAAATGTGACTGAAAACATGAGCCGATCCCACCTATGAAATATAATTGATAAAATTTTTCATCGATATAATCCTATCAAGCGATTATGAAATGCATTTTTGGATTCCGTAGTCAAAAATTGAGAAGCGACAGCCATTGGTTTTATAATACAGGACAACTTTTAAATAAAAATAAATTGATACGTCCTTTTTACAATTTTGCTTTTTAAGTGCATTTAAATTGTGCTACTGCAATATTAAAAGTACAAAGTTCACGTAATGTGTTGTCAGTTTAATCTATGTTAGTGTCAGATACAGTAATATGTGTGCAAATGATATGTGAAGGCTGAATGACGTTAGATAATAGACTATTCGATTAGAGATCTTATCTACCTCTATTATCTAATATTATTTTGTACTTTGTACTATCCTACTTTGTTGTTTTTTTATGAGATTAACCGGTAAACGAGCATTCGGATCACTTGATGGTAAGCAATCGGCGTCGCCCATGGACACCCGAAACACTAGAGGCGTTCCAAGTGTGTTACCGATTTTTCGAGGATTAGGAATAAGAGCTTTGTTGCGGATTCAGGGATTGGGGTGACTGGGGAAGGGAGGGAGGGGGGGGGGGACAATTGGGCCTCCGGTAACCTCACTAATACGACAAAACACAACACAAGCGTTGTTTCACGTCGGTTGTCTGTGAGGTGTCACTCCGGTCGAGCCGGCCCATTCGTGCTGAAGCATGGCCCTTCCACTTTTGATGCATAGATTAGAAGAGTGGAAGTTTGGAAGTTTAAAGATATGGCAATCATCAACCCAGTATATATACCTCAAAATAGCATATCTAAAATGTAGTTAGTACTCTAATAGTTTATACCCTATTCTCAAACCTTTTATGTCGTCGAAACCCCATCAGAGTATAATGTAAATGTTTGTCGGATTGTAGAGTTTGCTCGAACGACTATGTTTCAGAAACACAATATCTACTGTCTATGATCACGCGAACGGTAATGGATACTGCTCCTATTCAACATAGAGTTAAACTGAATGGAATGGGAATGGAAAATTTTAAATCATTCTCATCTCAATATGGAAGTCAATATTATTGTTTCCAAATTAGTAATCCTGATGTTTGTTAATTAAATGGTAGGTTTGAAGATTATTAAAGATTACATTATTATTTTTTAAGAAATGAAATTGAATTCACGTGACATCACTTTAGATTCGGTAAGTCAGAATAGGGTAGATGCCTAATTTTTATTTTAATGTCCGTCTGGTAGATTATTTTAAAATACCAGACACGTATGTACGTTTTATTTTCTTACAGAAACGAATACTTTCGACGATATATTGATTTGAAATGTTGCATAACGTAACTTCTATGTACATTTTATACGTAGAAATGATGTTTTAGCCCCCACTCCTAAACTTTGATTCGTTTTATCTAAGTATTGTTTTGATATACGACAACATAAACAAATACGTGATAATATTTTAAATTTTTATACCCTGTCATCATCCCAATTGAAAAGTATTGAACCTCACTTAGGAGGCTCTAAATGAAGATTTGTATTAATACTTAGTGTAAAGTAAAGGTGGTCAAAAGTTATGAAACATAATGTCTTTGTAAAAATATCAAACAATAACTGAATCAAATATTATGATGAATAACGTATGAGTATGATTAAGTTTACTGAGACGTAATGCGTGAAGTTAATTTCGTAAAAGGATTCTAGATTACCTACTTTACAACCCAGACAGAATACTCTGGTCTCCAATATAATTGGCTCATAAGACATTCCATTAAGACTGTAATATTTCACCAAAGCTCTAGTTAATTAGTCCACAAAGCCCCGTCTCTTCCAGCTCATTATAAATGCGGTGGACACTGTACTGTTGCTTCAGATATTGATGGATTTTCTAATATAAGCAAAACAGCCATTTGTATTCCATTAGCTTGCTTTCTTTGACTTTTAGTCCACCGTACCCTGTTCGCAATACACTTAAAGCTGACTTTTTATTAAAAAACCGTTGTTTCGCTAGAAAATTTTACTAAAACATTTCAAGGAAGTTTCCCGAACTTTCTAGACCATCGCATCTTCATTTCATTATTTTTCTTTCTTCGTCGGGATGTACTGTCCATTACGGTTTTGTAAAAATACAAAGAACGAAAAATCTTTACGATGAAATATGAAAGTTTCACAGATATTCACTGGATCTGTCGTCTACTTTTGTATACTTTGCCATTTTAGTATTTGGAAGTAAGTACAACAGTGTCTTTATTCATAAGTTATTCATTTATTAGTCGTGAAACTAATGAACTTTGTGAATAATTCATTACTACGAATAACTGATTTGCTTCTAAAAGTGTATTTCCAAAGTACGCCTGAGCCTTATAGTCACAGTGACATCACATTATGATTGGGTAGTTTCAATGGTATCAAAATTAAAAATATAATTAGTCCGTCAGTTAGATAATGAAAAAATATTAGACACGTATTTTTTTATTTTCTAGTATTAAGTTGCAATACTTTGATAAAATGGCGCTAAGTTTAGGAGTGAGTAAGTATACTGACCAGAAAACAACTAATGAGCTCGCATAGCCCTTCCTCATTGCACCAAAAATAATTATTATACATACATACATAACTTCACGCCTTTCTCCCATGGGGGTAGGCAGAGACTAGGGAACGCCAATTACTACGATTCCTACATACCTCTTTCGCTTCATCAACAGTCATCAATCTTTTCATGCATGCTCGTCGGTTAAGGGTACTTTTAATTTGGCCCTTCACTATATGTCCGTCTAGGGCGCCATATTAATAGTAATTATAATAATAATATTCATAACACACAATTCCTAGAACAAAGGGATAAACTTATTCAATCCCAAAATGAAGTACCTATAACAAGCAACAAACTGTTTGCACCTGTAGATAAACTTGCTCGAAGTAATTTCCGTTTAGTCTCAGTGCACAAAGCTTATTGTTGCGGCCAGTACCGGCTACTGTAGCAGTTGCAAAAGCTGCTACGCGCTCGTTATTATGTCCGTATTGTTACGTTACGTTGTACGTTGCATTTCGTTTGTGTACTGTCAATAATTAATGTTCTGTAATTTCCTGCGTGAATTTCTAGACGGATTGATGAATTTTCATTGTTTGTTCTTTATTGACATGTACCCATTGGTTTTTGTTGGTATTCAGTACATAATAATTTTTAGCCTGCAGCAATTTGATTGGCCTTTTAGATCAATACTAACATTCGCGTTTGGTATAATAAAACATGTATACGAAAAACACCTCGACTAGTTAACTCTGAATTGAGTGCCACCTATGTTTATTAGCATGACACTAGTTAGCACGAGGGATAGACAGCAGTGTTCTATAAAATTTGAATAACCTAATTGCATTTTCCTACTGTTAAGATTATGACGTACTGGGAAGGAATGGAGAAAACCCGATATGATCCGATGGTTACCGGAGACACAATTACCCCCCCCCCCTACCTAATCTCCGAATCCTCAAATTCCTAATCCCCAAAAGGCCGGTAATGTATGTGTAACGCCTCTGGTGTTTTGGGTGTCCATGAGCGGCGCCGATGGCTTACCATCAGGTGATCCGTATGTGTATTTACTGGCTTATCCCATAAAAAAGAACTCTTTTAAGAAAGATCCTTGTTCAGTATTGCACTTTATTAGGTTGTTAACGATTACGTACCAAATATAGTCATGGGTCTGGTCTTCTCATCTTCAGCGAGGAAGGTGGACACCACACAAGTGTAGTTGCCGGTCAGCTCTGGAACCGGAGATGTGATGTGGAGAGCTCGGTGCTGTGTGTACGGGTTGTGTGATACTTTGTATGATAGGTCCACCTGCGAAAACAGAAAATATTTTTTTACTAATCTTGACTTGACTTTTTCTGGTGATTCTGAGTGAGACTACAGAGCTGAACTTACGTTTTAAGTTTGATACCTAGATACCTTAATATCATTAGGTGCTTACAATTTCCAAATTGGAAAAAAATACTGATCACTTATAATAAAGAGCATGTAGCGACCATTACTATAGCAATTGTGAATAGCTTACGTATCTTTTTACCTTATTTCTCAAAATTCCAAGCGCTTGAGGTTTTTGCGGTGGGATCCATTGGTACACTGGCGTCGTCTTATCCATATAAAACCACTTGACCACTAGTCCGGTGACATTGTTCGTCACGAAGTCACAGTCTAGCGTGATAGAGTCCTTAGTTCCGTATTGAATTACTTCCGGTACTCGAATGTTTATGATGCGAACTGAACTGACACCTGGAACAAAATTAATGAGGGATAAAAGGAAGAAAAATATATTTATACAATACTTTTACTTAAAACAAAACCTACTAACAATGAACTTGATTACTATAAGGCACATACGCTAATTATGTAAAAAGATAAAAATTTGGCTCGGTTCAAGTTCATATTGAATATTTAACTAATACATATCGAAACAACTTTGCTGACTAATCCAGTATTACCCAACCGAATTCGTGTTCAAAACTAGTTAGGCAAATTAGAATAAAGGTTAGTATGTAGCTTGTTTCAACAAAAACTACAAATTGTATTCTTTGAACACAATTTTAAAGTCTAGTTTAGGTAACAACGCCTATTTATTTCTTATAATAAAACGTCAAAAAACATCAAGCAATATTTTACTCAAACAAAATTCTAGATTGTTCCAACGGCATGTTATCCAATACAATAATTTTGGCAAAAACCCAATCTATCCCGACAAGCCCGGTACACGATAACTGGACTGTGTCCCGGATGACTCAAATTCCAGGACAAAAAATTAAAACATTCCGTGGTATTGGCAGAATCAATAATGACGACAATACGGGAGAGTTTGCCGCAGTACCCTTGGGACCTTCTCGCGCCACTGGTCAGACCCACTGGGCTCCATAAATACCCATCCAATTGGCTTAAATGAGTGGTAGGCAGCTGTCATATTCGATGTTAACTTTACAAACATTAATTTGGTAAAATTGTTTTCTGGTACATTTTTGTACCAGCATGTGATTGAACATTACGGTTAACAAGAGTTCAATTAAAATAAACATTAATTAAGCTTTAGTACGTTTGTATACTTTCAAAGAAAGATAATAATCATTGCACACTATTGTTTATTGTCCGGTCTTTGCTTCAGTGTATAGAACCAACTATGAATTGAAATTAAAACTGCAAGAACAAAAACTAACGTTGGAACAGAACCGGTTTTACAGCTAGCTAACAGAAAGGAAATAGACTTTTCGCATATTATATTCACTTTTATACCACAGTTTTGAGAATATTGGTGCACATAATCTGTACAATGAAAACCAACTTAATTCTCAAAATAATTAGGTCGAATTTTAAGCATGAAAGACAGTCAATTCTTTACAGAAAGAGAACAAAAGCAAAAGAAAATCAGTTTCACAGATATTTATATAAACATTTTTATTTTTACCCAAAATAATCTGGCACAAAATTGAAGGGATTCCGGGAGGACGCATTAGGCTGCCGTTCTAGCGGAAACATCATATTATCGACGGAGGAATCCACCGGAATATTGTTTCGTGGTTTCCTATCAATTCCGGGGATGCTTTTGAGCTCCTCGCCCGTTTTTACGTCAAATATTTCGTTGTTATTATTGGATACCGTTTTTGCTTTTGTATTAATGAAATTATACGGAGGAAGAGAATTAATTTATTAAGGTCCGCGTAATTTGTATAAATCTCAACTGTGAAATTAATTTTAGGGGCCTTGACTCGATAATGTTTGAGAACATTATGCTGTCCTTTTGAAGCAATACTTGGTTTGAAATTATAGGTATTGTAGATATTGAATTTGAGCGCGGCTGTTTCATTTATTAGAAAATTGTTTAATTTAATTCTGTGCCTAATTTTCAATACTCTTTGACTAATGAAGTTTCGTGAATTCCAAAATTTAGAGCATCATTCATCTAGGGCCTTTGTAAAGTTAAACATTTATTAAGACTAGCACATAACTATTATAAACAATATTTCCTAAAAGAAACCCTACACAATATAGCATAAGGGTCTGATTGGTTTCACTTACATCATTCCCAACAAACAGTTTTATTAAAACTCGTCGTCTGTTCATTGGGGTGTGTGCACATCGCAGAAAGTTGCCCGCCGCCATATTGCATACACCGGAGTTGTATTATCTGAGTTAGGACCCGTGACATCAGTACCATTGTGAACAGACGAACTCATTACACTATCTTCAGTAAATGTCCACAAAAGGAATTAAAAAAAATACACGTTTGACATGACAGAACAATGTCAAAGGGCTCTTTTTTTGTTTTTTTTTTCCCGCAGTCCGTTGGCAACATTTGGGCGGTGTTGGTTAAATTTCGACTGTGATTTGTAAATATGGAAAAATGGTGCAGTATTTTTTGGTTAGCTATCGCCACTGGGTACTTTTGGTGCAGATTCCATAGAAAATGTTTGAATATTTTCACTCAGTTAATGGGTTAGAAATATTATTTTGATTGGTGTTTGTTGTTTTGCGTTTACATGTATCTATTGTCTGCTCGTTTGCCTCCTATTCCATGAAAAAAAACTACTGTATCAAATTCTAAATTCTATTATTTGATTATAATTGGGAAAATTATATTAATTTGTGTTAAATCATTTTATCCATGACATAAAAAAGGATGCATAAAATATTTTTTTCATTTGGTAAACTTTTTTTACTTGTGATGTTGTAAGTCCCATAAAACAGTGCATTATGATCGAGATCTTATTTATAATCTGACTAGAAAATAGTCACCAAGACCAAACGATCAAAATAACAAAGAAAAGCATAAACAAAAACAAATACATATAATTTTTTTTGTAATCTACCACAGAGTCTCCAAAAGCTCTTCACAAAGTGCCAAATCACCTCTAACAAGAGATTTTTGACTCAAGAAATGAGCAAATTGCGATATAAGAGGCAATATACCAGGGTTTGGCAGAATGCCATACTGACATTAAATTATGATTGTCTTCCCGTGTCGATATCGCGACTTGAATTCCAAACGTTTAAATTGTATTTTCAATATATGGAGTGAATTGTTTGATTTGGGAATAAGTGTTAATATTGTGGGTGAGACTTTGAACAATATTACAATGGGGAGAAAGAAGATTAGTTCTAGTAAATAATAAAGTAATGTGTGGTTGAGTATAAGTGGTTTTAGGTGCAAAAGTAAAGGATTATTGAAGATTTTTCCGTTACCTTATTCGAATATTGGAAAGAAATACTGGAGTTGGTTTGCATTTTTTTGTATAAAATCTTAGCTTAACACGGAGCCTAGAATTGTGCAGTCTCGTATGTCTGATAACATAAAATTATTAAAATTTTTAAAGGAAACCACCTTAATATACCGCATTACACACATAATAATATAAGCACTTATAAAAACACTTACTAAAAATAAAATTACACATTACCAATCTACCATCTGTCATCAGAACATAAACTCAACGACAGTAAAATACCAAACAAAATACATGTTTTGCAAGAAAACATCAGCAAGTATTGCACAGGCCGTTGCTCCTGCGCATCGCTTCGTTGCACACCCTCGTCACGGTGCACAAGTATGTTAGTACAATTTATGTTTTTTAATGTCGAGAAAAAGTGTATGCTCATTCTTGTGCTTGGAAGATGGTGATCTATTTGATGGACATTTGGAAGTTATGGTGCAATTCCTATAATTAATCTGTTTAATTCCTCTTCAGTGTAGAAAGTACTTGGTTTAGAAGTACTTTTCATAGTTATGTATTCCGAAGTAGCTTTACCCTACTTAATTTGACTGGACTACAATAGCTACATTTGTCTAATTTATCTAATACCATTAAATGAGCCATTCTTGTATGTATGTATTAACGATTTTGGAAATAGCTTCATAATTTTTATGTAGGGATTTTCTAGATCTAGCTAAAAACACCGAGAAAAGCTCAGTTATCCAGGAACTCTTTCTTAATTCCAATACGGCAGTTTAAAAGAATACATTTCCAAGACAATAAATTGTCATATCAACAAATTTGCATACCACATTTCCGTTTAACCGAAGATCCGCTTAATAATTCGAATTTATTCATTGTGAATATTTAAACACGTACCATCCGGCACGTGTTCTTAAATTAATCATATGAGAGAGACAGGTATATTCTGACCCCTGGTTTTTGTGAAGGAGTAAAAGAGATGGATATAGGACATCTGTATCGGAGTTACCAAGTGTGACGGACTCGTGCGCAGTCTATTAAGCGGCTGATGATAGCGATAGCAGGTAACTGTCGGTGTATGGTGTTTGGCGCTATATTGTTCTTAGGCCATTGTTTTCTTGCTTTATTCTGTATTTACTTATGTATGTTGTGCAGTGAATGTCTGGATTTGAGACTTAGATACTACATTTAAGAATTGTATGGTTGAGGGTCTATGTAAGTACTTAAGCATCGCTAAGAATGATACAGTTACAGATTAAGATCAATATATGAATATGCATACCCAAAAGGAGATGGCGGGACGAACTGAACATCTGTGACAAGGATTGGCCGAAAGTTTTACATTGAGAAGAGTGGAAGGAGGGTAGGGAGGCCTTTGCCATGCAGTGGGACGATCATGGCTAAAAATAAAATTAATAAACATATGAACTTAAGTACATATAGTTCTCTAGTGTTATATTTTTTGTTCTTATTTAGTAAGGGGCAGATGATAACTGACAGAGTAATTGCTAAAACTCCTTGCCAATTCCTTCAAGAAATAATAAAAGTGATCTCAAACATGTCTAACCATCACCAAACATGAGTATATCACAACGGCTTATTGTATATAATAGGATAGATGAATAATTTTTAATGTCCGCCTGGTAGACTAATTATAAACTTAGACATGTATTCTTTGTTTTTTTAGTAAAATAAATAGTTTCGAAGATATATTGATTCGAAATGTCGCGTGACGTCACTTCTATGTACATTTTATACGTAGAAGTGACGTTTTAGCTCCCACCCCTAAACTTTAATTCGTTATATCTAAGTATCATTTTATTATACAACAAAAATAAAAATAATACGTGTCTTATATTTTTTCATTACCTAACTGACGGACTAATTTCATTTTTATTTTTTATACCCTGTCATCATCCCTGTTATTTGAAGTATTTTGAAGAATTAATAGCTAGTCAATTACAACAGTTTTATGTTGTAAATATCGTGCTCTCTCTGTCATTTTACAAACAATTTATAGAGACAGAACTATAGTTGGCCGCGACTTAAAATTCAGTA